CATAGTTCCTTTCTTACTCAAATGTAAAATAACATTTAGAAACTTCTTTGGGAATACATAGTTCCCTAATAATCTTTGAGAAATGACTCAACTTGGAACTCTTGACTCTTTACTCTTTACTTGACTTGCAACTTGAGCCTTAAAATGAAGTGAAAACGTTCAATAAATACTCTCGAACAACTTTGAAAACTTACTTGAACTAACTCCTTGACTTTGCTTGACTTGACTCTAACTTCCCTTAACTTTGATCCTAACTCACCTTGAATTTGATTATGGATTCAAGGTGTATGACCACACGTATTTAGGTGAGTTCGGGATGTTTAGAAACACTTTGGGGTTTTGGAAACAACTAGGGAATGTAGGTATAACACCTAGGAACATGCATGAGAAAGCATGGAAGAATGGGGGAAACTTGGCGTCATTGGCGCTCTGCAAGGCGCGGAGCGCCAGCCCTCGAAAGTCAGAGGTCACCTGCTGGTGCTCTGAGAGGCGCGGCGCCCCAAGGGGGAAACCTCAGAGCCTCTTTTGGGGTGCACTGGCAGGCGCGACGCGCCAACCCCCTTGCCCAGAAACTCGACTTTTCTCCCCTTTTTCTTCAACTCTAAACCATCCTTACTTCAAAGGATCTAACCCCAAACACTAAGGATCATCATATCCCTCAACATACCATGGATTACAACTCAAAACACAACCCAATCATGTCTCACAACCAACAACAACTTCAACAACACAACTAACAACATCAACAACAACTAACAACTTCAACAACAATTCCAATCTTTCCTCAAATCATAAAATGAGCTTGGTGTGTGGGGGAAAAGGATCAACCCACACTAAGAACTCACATACCTTGAAAGGGATCACCCCCCGACGAAAAATCCACGTTGATCTTTGACGGAAACTTGTTGATCTCCTCTTTCTCCTCTTCGTTCTTCTTCTTCTCTTCTTCTTCTCAAGCCCTAGCTTTTACTCTTTTAAAATGGGACAAAAATGATCCAAAGATCAGCCCTATACAACAATATAATCCCAAAAGAATTGGCTAGAGAAAAGACTAAAATGCCCTTAATTTTCCGGACGGATTTCTTGTCAACTGCCCAACTTTCAAAGGGGATATATCACTCATACGAACTTGGAATCGAGTAAACTCAGTGGCGTTGGAAAGATCATTCCACAAGATTCACAACCATAACTGGAACTACTCCTAACTCATCCTGATCTAGGAGTTATGACTGCTAAAAGTTGGCCAAAAACTCACTGATTTCCACACTTAGCCAAATTCTAGATTTTCAAATCCTTTCCAAAAATGAAAACTTTCAAATTCCAAGCCTCTGCTTAGTTATTCCAAATCGCCGGATGTTACAATATATCCCCCTTGGGAACATTCGTCCTCGAATGAGGTTACCCTTACAAAACTAAAGGTGTAACGTCAAACTCAAACACCCAACAAGCAATCATGCAAACAACAACAACAACAACAACGACAACAAGCTCATTATATATTAAAGAGCACTAAG